TGAAGTACGAACATTAAAGGAATCCTTCACGGAAAAAAGCTCTGCCCCTATTACCACAGAAAACGATACCTTAAAGGAATTTTCCACAAAGAAAGAGTGCTCATTTTGTCTTGTGTGTAGGACTGGTATTATCGAGACTATCGCTTATGTTTCGTTCTTATTGCTTTGCTCATGAGGTTAAGGGCCTAAGGTGTATGGTTTCTCTAGGGTAGTGGAGGAAGAGCCTTTCCCGCGGAAGATTCCTTGAAGTCCCTGAAGGGGCTCCCCACGCGAACACTCCACCTCTATGGCTGACAATGTCGATAGTATCATGAAACTGCTATCATTAGGTACAACCAAACCTCGCCCATACAATTCTACTCGAAAAGTGGCGCTGAGCATGGAGGGTTTTGCTTACCTGTAGCTACTAACAATCACCTCTTCCTCGCGGATAATCTTACCCTTCTCCAAAAACATGCCCTACTACCCTCTACCTGTTTGCAAGTCATCACTTGACAGACCAGTTATTTCTGCCTCTACTAAAATCGGTTGTCCATTGGACGACAAATGCCGAATCGCGGCCGAAGAAGGGTACAGTTGAGAAGTAATCGGCCAATACTTGTCAAGAAGCTGGTATGGGAAGCGTCATTGAAACCGAATAAACACAATTACATCGATAAAAAGCTACATACATCACCTCACCATTGCACTTGTAATGAGAGTTGATCAGAAATATGTCGTAGAATGAAATCTGCTGCGATCCCATCGTGTACAGATATCTTGGCTTTCCGGGGACGAGAGACTGTCCACTTGAGGCGAATCTAAAAACCATATATGAAAGGTGACCCATTTCCATTGGCTTGAGCCCGCTTACGATCGAGTGTCGTAGTGCATGACACTGCCATATTCGTACGGTGTGTAGTTGATGGATTCGGCTGCAGTGAGTTTGTTGTAGTTGTGTTGGTTTTGTGTCTGAAAGAAGGACTTTTAAAAACTCTACACACGATCGTCTCCAACTTCTCTCCTCGTAGAACCTCGGTATTGATGTAAATTATGTAGTTCTTCTGCCAACGAGGTTGTTGGGTGGAATCTTCATCAGTGGCTTGACGTGTCGACGAGATCGTCTTCCTCAAACTTGCTAGTAACTAACCATAAGCAATCTGGAGTGGCGCTGTCCTGCTCTCACGGTGGTGGACTGGGCCTTTGAGGAAGACGATCTCGTCGAAACGTCAGGCCACTAATAAAATTCCACCTAACAACCTCGTTGGCAACAGAATTACATTATAAATACCAACAATTCTCCGATGCCGCTGAAATGTGCGATGCCACATGGTGCGACTTTGAAGAAAACATAGGACCTATTTTTTGTGGGACTTTGACAAATTACCTGGCTCATCTTGAAAGGGGAATTTCAGCAGAGCTATACCACCGCTTTGAGGTTCATGAAATGCTAACAAGGAAAGGGTCTCAGGTCGCCGTGGACATTTAGGAAGAGATGTACACCCCTTGAATGTCTTAGAACGCTGATCTCGAATCTACCTTCTAAATCTGCTAAACGATCTATGAACCAGTGCTACGATCTATGAACGATCAAGCGGAGCAACGGTAGTGATCGGGACTCATAGTCAAGACGCCGACAGATCGATCCCTTCAGTGTTTTCTGGCTTTCTTTCTTGGGAATGCAGCCCACACGACTTAGCCTCATTATCTGTGTTGCTGTGAAAAGTAAAACAGCAAACACGGTTAGGAACAGATCCTACGACGTTTTGACTGCGAGTCCCGACCACTACCGTTGCGCTGTTTTGCTTCATAACTCCGTTCAGAAAATCGTTTAGCAGATTTGGAAGGTAGATTTGAGATCAGCGTTTGAAGGCACATCTAGGCGATTACATTCCTCCTGGATGGCATGATAACTTAGCATCCTTCCCTAGTAAGTATGGAAACTTGTAATAGTAAGATTTACCGGCACATTTGTCATATCAACATATATGATAGTTATCACGATCCGATCGACTTCTGCATGTGAAATATACCGAGGGCATGCATGAACTCGTGAGCAGCTATTCCCATCTAAAACATTGAAACGTGCCTTCAAAGGTAAATACACATAGGGAAGTGACTTTGGAGAAGCCTAATTTGGAGGATAGAAGCCGTTGTTTCGACCGTCCGTCGTGAAAGTAGCGGAGTAGCCTCTGTGAAATTAAGTTGCCCCAAGTGGGGACAACTGCAATTATTGCCTATCTTATGAACTATCCTTAAGATCGATCTAATCCTATATCGAGTCATCCATGATAATCTTCTCCTCCTTTCTTATTCGTTTATAGGGCAAGGTAAGCAACGTCGAAAGCGTTCCTCAACCACAAGTTCAATTTGGTGCTATTCGGAGGGGAAAGGTAGGGCTGAAGTGTATACATTTCGGAACAATTCATTAGACTTTCTGGGAAGTTTTCATGAAATTTGAAGCCCGTGAAATATTGGAATATTGTGGAAGTTTCAGGATTTGTGTCATCTGTGTTACCCGCTCTTCCTGCCTCCTGCCCTTCCATTTGGGGAGATCAGGTTCAGCTTCACGAAGGTTGGAAGGAAGAAGTGTGAGGCCACGTGTACGCGAACTGTGGGACACTCAACTGGGAGTAGCTAGGAGCCTTCTCTTCTACCATTAACTTACCGTATTGCAACCATCAGCCAGCGATAAGTCCTGTTGACCTCCGATCATCCCAACATACGAATAACATCCACTTCCGCTGAATACACGAACGCGGTTAACGGCTGTGGCGTTCTCCACAAAGGTAAGGCATGTGCGAGCGCTGATATAGTTCAGCGCTTTCTTGACGAGGGATTTCATGGGATCACCTGAAAGGGAAGAAGTAAACGCGATTGTTGGTCTGTGAACCATGACTCGATTCGACTACGTAATCACTTACCAAAAGCCGCGTCAAAGTAGTAGAAGACCTTTTTGTTTGCCCATAGCGGAGCAGTCTTCGAAGCTTGCCGTTTTTGGCGAGTGGTATTACTATTCAGACTCGCCTCAAGTGCGGAGAGTTGTTCTCTGTAACTCAATGAGAGACATATGTTAATGAGCGGTGAAATCAGTCAAAGCCGTTCTAATTTTTCTACGCCATCTTTCTGAAGACTATAATTGTCGATTGGCCCATCTTAAAGGGAAATTAGTGAATAAGTTAGTCGACATCTGTCATGGTAATGCAGTGTGCATACTGGAGAAGAGGCCTTCGTGTGATTAACACTAAAGAAGAACAGAAAAAGACCAAAGGGAAAGCCGAGGGAAATCTTGATATCCCCAAAATAGAGCTTGATTTCTACATAGCATTTTAACACGCTGGCGACAATGCCATTTTTCGCGTGTCTGCCATGTGGGACCGCGCGCATTTTTCTTTGCGGGTCGACGTTGGGACGCATTGTCCAAGATGACAGTCTTTTTGACTAACATAACCTCAGTGGTCGTGAAAATTCATCAGAGACGAAACTTCACTAAGAGGGGTATTCAAGGGTGCTGAACATGAATATAGCAGTAGTTTTCAGCGCTGGCGTCAGGTGGCGCCAACTGGCGCCAAAACCTGTTTCGCCTCCAATTTCGCTGTAAACTCGGGAACAGGGGTAATCGGTGGTCCTAAGCATGAAAATGGCATCTTTTTTGGCGCCGCGCCATTTGGCGTGAAGTTGGCGCCACATGGCGCCACGACATTTTTGTCATCAATTACGCTGGAAAACTTGGTAACAGGGATGGTAAACGCGCGGTCCTAAACACAAGAATATAAAGCAGCTATTATCTTGGCGCCACATGGCGCGGCGCCAGAAAACGGATGCCATTTTCATGCTCAGGACCACCGATTACCCCTGTTCCCAAGTTCTACAGCGTAATTGGTGGAAAAAAGGGCGTGGCGCCATGTGGCGCCAACGGCGCTGGCGCCGGACATCGCTGTCATATTAAAGAATGTGCGTGAGCAACGCGGTGGTGGGAGGGCTTGTATGAGTTGTAGAAGTTATGAACATCACTGAAGCGTTTGAGCAAGCTAGAAAGGATGGAGGTCTATCCCTATCTGGGCACCATTCAGAATCGTAGGGGCAACGTGGCTGTAAGATGAACAGATGCTCATCAATGCAAGTCGTGTTTCTTGAACGGCTTGGGTCGACACCGCCGAATCGGATCGACGCCTTAACCGTTAGCGCGTGATAGCAAGCGCCATAAACACTCCAGCTCCTGCCAGCAAATGGATTCATCGCCTATACCGCTACAAGGTATGGGATCCTTCTCAGGTAGATGATAGTAACATAATCACTGGAGAAATGAAGGAAATCACTTCTTTTCAATTTCAGTGATATCACTTACTTTCCTCGGCAAGCGCCGAGGTTTCCGTTGCTCAATGTAAATTGTTTCTTTGCACAAATTCAACTAGCTGTTTCCACGAGAAGAATGCCAGTAAGTCAGTTGTGGAAATTTAGGGAGGAGAGTTTAGGGACATTTTGGAGCTCCGGCATATTAGTAGAAATCATTTTGACGTCAATTTCACTAAAGTTTCATCGCCAACTAAATCAGCCGAAATCGACCTGACTAGGGAAGGATGAAGGGTCGAAGTGGCCATATGAAATGAGACAAGTATCATGGTATGTGGTTTCGGACGCTGATCTCGAATCTTCTTCCCAAATCTGCCAAACGATTCGCTGAACGGAGTTACGGAGGTTTTTTGTTCCCTCACACAGTTTAACATAGTGAGAAATGAGGCCTCAGCAGCAGCGGCTTGTGAACGAAGCAGTGAGCCTCCCTCATCGGGTGCTGGTGGCCTAGTGGTTAAGGTGGTGGGCTTGGGATTTCGGGGTCAGTGGTTCGGATCCGGCCCTTGTTTTCCATTTTGCATTTTTGTGACTGACTGTTTGGCAGTAGTGAAACATGATTCCTTCATCATTGGTCAGCCCTACTTGCTTTTGAATGAGTCTGAGGTCGATAACTTCGAAATTTTTCCTAACTTGCATGCCACTACATAAGGTTAAGGCGCCAGTATACGGAGCGCGCGCTTCAGCCGTTTTTGAGTGAACGAATGTGAGATCTGTGTTCAAGCAGTCCAATAACTCCTGGGGCCGATTTCTAGAAAAATTCGAGATTTTGAATTAATCTCAAAAAAGTGGGCGAGTCACTCATTCGATGCTACATATCCATAGCCGGTAGTTCCAGGGTTGACCTATTTTGGACGACGGCGACCCTTTAAATTTGAAAATAATAAAATGTGAGAGTTGAAATCATGCTAACAGAAAACCAGAGACACTGCTTTACACTCTTCAGAAACCAAAAAAAAACGTATATCGTTTCAAGGCTATGTAGGCTTCGATAATAGGCTGATGGATGAATGGATAGATACCCACCCAGCCTATTTCGAAATTGGTCGAAATCTCAAATTTGGCTACAAACTTGTCCCTAGGGGTATTTTAATCTCCGGAACACGAATATCACACTTGTTTGCTGCAAAAACGTCTGCCAAGAGTTCTGTGGGCTCCATGTGCAGTCTTTAGTGAGTACCGCAGAAACTGATTAGAAACTCTTCGCAAAGTCTTTGCACGGGTAACTACAGGCAAGCATTGATCGAGTAAGGTAGCTGGGAGCCTTTTCATCATTTTGCAGCGAAGGCAAAAAAGAACCCGCCAGGGAATCGATCCTACGACGTCTCGCACGTGAACCCGGACTACTACCGCTGCACTACTTTCCTTCATAACTCATTGAACGAGAATTTGAAAGCGGATTCGAGATCAGCGTCCAAAAACGCATTCACCGGTGTAGGTCTCTTAACATATGGCCACTTCGACCAATCATCCATTCCTGGAGACAAGATAGTTGCCAGTACTGCTCGGGACTGGTCCTGCCAGTCCAGCCACGTGGCACACCCTGATACTAACGCATGGCTCTCTTTAAAACGATCTCACAAGAAGGACAAAATTTACACGGTGCAAAATTTTCCCCCAAATGCGTAATATGGACTTACTCGGTGAGATTGATGTCGCCCTCGTACAGGTATTCGTCGACCCCTTCCAGGCGATTTTTCTCAATTATTGATCCCCCTCCAAATAGATCATTCGATGCTGTTGGTTCCTAAAGTGAACAAAATCAGGCGGTTTCACTATCAAATGGAATTGTGGCCTTGCAAATAGAAACGTCCTAACATGCTCTGCGGTGTTCATTGATGTAGCCGCCAGGGAAGACCTCTGATCCATGTCGACCACGCGCAGGTTCCTCAGTCTTTCGAGGCGTTCATCAAGATCGATTCCTCGAAGGGCCTGGAAGCATTTTATGAATGCATACACTAGGAGCTCTATTTGTACCTACCCTTATCAAGGATGTTCTGCCATTGTCTGAAAGACAAAAACCACCATCGAGAAGCAGAAGGAGTAAGGCGACAATCGCAACGGCTTGGCAAGGCTTTTTCGAATTCATCCTGAAAAAAAAAAATTCATTCGCTAAAGGTTACCCAACTTCTTCGAAGAGCATGACCTAAACCATACATATGGGCTACTTTTAAGGAATCTTGCGCGGAAAAATCATGATTCTATTTCAGCCATAAATCACTGGCTTGAGACTCATTATCCACGATAATAGTGAAAAGAACTGAAGTATTGCTTTCGTTTTGATTAGAAATTCGAAAACTCGAAAAGGCTGCTACGCGTTCGAATTGCCCACGGACGTCTTTCACGAATGCTGGCGACGGGGATGCTCAAACTTGGTTCTTGGAGTGCATTCACTAGAAGCTCTTTCTGGCCTTCTGCTTCGTTGCATTCACATCTTACACTTCTACTCCATCCTATTCCATCGATCGATTTGTCTCCACTCTCCGAAATCGCGCGCTTTAACCCGATTCTCTCATTGCGTCGCCTGGTACGTAGCCGGCCAAACGCCGTCTTCTTTCCATGCCTCGCCTGGCTCTGCCTCCTGGTCCTTCGATGGTCCATAACGTAGTTTTTGTACGTTTGTTTCTCTTCAGAAACCGAATCTTCATGCGTGAAACTTTGTGTGCTATTTCCAGTGATCACAACTGACATATTCATGTTAGGAAAGAGTGCAAGAATTTTCCGCGCAAGATTCCTTTAAGAAGGGCTTCATGATGCACGCTTTATAACAACAGGAAACTGTTGTTTTCTGTTGAGTGGCAATAATAGAATATGCAAAATTATATATGCTTAATATCGAAGGAAAAATATTCGCAAGTAGTCAACCTGAGCATACCACCAGAATTTGAGAAGATCACGGTTATGTAATATGTTCATGGGTTAGCCCTCTCAGGTTGGAGACAGGCCTTGTGCACATTCTAAGATTCTTCTTTTCTGCACAAAACTGTAGGAGCCACCTCATGAATCCACATCAAACGGCAGAGGGCCCCAATCCTAGAGCTCGATCCACGAGCATTCATTCTAATGGTTCCATTATTCTTGTGATTCTCTTTTCTTTGTTCTGTTTTTTCTCTTCTTTTCTTCTTTCTTTTCTTTCTTCTTTCTTCTCTGTCCTGTTCTTCTTTTTCTTCCTGTTATCTACGATTACAAACCTCAGACACCTTGTCCGGTATGATGTCCCACTAGTAGTTGTGGAGGTGAAGCTATCAGTAATAGAAGAACCTTTAAACGGCTCGTGGCTTGTTATGTTTTTTTTTTCGAACGGGTAAGGATTCCAGTGTTCGCGCAAATTCAAAATCTAACTGTTTTCAAAATGCCCCCGCTTTGGTACTACCTGCTGATCATAGCAGTAATGAAAAAAGGAAGTTTGTAATTGGTGCTGGCCGAGTGAAGAAATATTGAAGGCCAAGAGTAAGGCCGTTGGATGCCATGTACCCCCTTATAAAGGCTCAACGGGTTACTGAAACAGAAGATAAATATTCAGGATTAGCATTCCTCACTAGGAGCGTTCCCTCTCAATAATCAGGGAACGTTCCCGAGCAGATCGGATTATTTCGAACGCTAAAAGTGAAATGTCTGCTTCCGTGTATGTAAATGGCTACAGCGATTAAAGTGTTTAACTACCACGCTCAAAGCTTATAGTAGGCTAGAGAAACAATGTTTCTTGTACGAAACGTGAAGCGCTGCGGTTGGACCAAAGAGCATCACCTGTATAACTGTCGTCCCGTTGATCGTCGATTTGCCTGCAACGTCTCCATTTGTGTCGCGTGCAAGAGTTGTCCAGTGGACCCTCCTCGCTCGAGGGACACGAAGTCCATCATTCCTTTCGTTCAGAGCTTTCGTGAAGAAGTCTGACCATCGGGCCGGCGGTCGTCCAGGTGTTCGTTTGACGTCCCGAGGGATCCAGTCGGTAACCGCTCTGGTCCAACGGTCATCGCAAAATCGCATGACGTGTCCGGCCCACCTTATCTTCGATTCCTTGGCGAAAACGGCAGCGTCCCTGATCTTCGATCGTTGGCGTAGTTCGGCACTCCGGATTCCCCTCTGCACTTGCGTGTATAGGGTTACTCCTAGCATCGTCCTCTCGACAGCGCGTTGGATAACGCTGACCGCATGCTCGTCCTGCCTGCGCAGAGTCCAAGTCTCTGAGGCGTAGGTTAGGGCAGGAAGGACAGCGGAATCGAAGAGGTGGGCACGGAGCCGGATGTTCTTCGTCTTCTTCACTACTCCCTCGATGTTCTTGTACGCTCCCCAAGCCGCTCGTTTCCTCCTGCTCAGCTCTGGAGCTAGATCGTTCATCATATTGATTTCCCGACCTAGGTACACGTAGCTGGAGCATTCGGTGATGTTCGTTCCGTTGAGCGTGAATGGGGCATCAGGAACCAATCCGTTTCTCATAAACATCGTCTTCGTTAGGTTCAGCTGTAGACCAACCTTACCACAGGCGCAGTCGAAATCAGCCAGCATTCGCTCCGCTTGCTCGATGTTCGGCGTTATAAGAACGATGTCGTCAGCAAAACGAAGGTGGTGTAGTTGCCGGCCGTCGACCTTCACTCCCATGTCTTCCCATTCCAGTTGACGCATGACGTTCTCGAGAGCGGCGCTGAAGAGTTTGGGCGAGATGGTGTCGCCCTGTCGAACCCCTCTCTTGACGTCGATGATGACCTCCTTGTAGAATGGTGAGATTCTGGTCGTAAAGTTGCTGTAGAGCTCACGAAGAATCTTGATGTACTGAGTAGGGACGCCCTGGTTGCCCAAGGCTTCGATGACCGCTTCTGTCTCCACAGAGTCGAAGGCCTTCTTCAAGTCGATGAACGTGAGACAAAGCGGCATCTTGTACTCTCGTGAAACTTCAATGAGTCTTGTAACCGTGTGGATATGGTCGATCGTGCTGAACCCTCTTCGGAACCCTGCTTGCTCGCATGGCTGTCCTTCATCTAGTATTCTGCCGATCCTGTTAAGGATGACTCGAGTGAATAGCTTGTAGATTACAGACAGCAGGCAGATTGGGCGATAGTTGCCAATGTCGTCCAAGTCTCCCTTCTTGTACAGCAACACGGTCCTGCTGGTTTTCCACGGAGTGGGTACCTTGCATTCCGACAGGTAGCGCGTGAAGAGTCGAGCCAGAGATTACGGACGAGGACACCCACACCGCCAACGCCTCTGCTGTCGCATGTTCCAAGGAACAGTTCTTCTCCAGTATCGAAAACGGCGTGTAGCGGGCGGTGCCTTCTCGTCTCGGTCAGTCCGATGACGTCGTACTTGATCTTCCTGGCCTGCATCATCAGATCTTCGATGTGAGCTTCGGATGCAAGCGTTCGTGCGTTGAAAGTACAGATCGCCATCTTAGTCCTTCTTCGTTTAGGCAGCCTATCCGGGCCCTGAGATTCTAGCAGCCTCTCCCGAGCGGTCCTACCCAACGCTGCCGTATTGGGGGCTCCCTCAGGTTCAGGGGAATGAGGCCCATCCATATTGCTGTTTTCGGCATATTGAAGGCACACGAGTAGCTTGCCAGGCTCTGTCGTGCGGGCTAGGATAGACCTCCAGGTAGTTAGCCACGCTATCCTGGAGCGGAACAAGGGGCTTATTTTTTGGAGGCGGCCCCGAATCGCCTCCCATGTACTTCCCAGTCACTTGAATGCAAGCTTTTGGCTGTGCCGACATGCAGGATACCAACCGCACACACACAGAGCGCACCACACACGCAAGCATGCATGGATGCGCCTGAGTGGAGACAGCTGGTATGAATCAACACAGCACTACAGAAACAGGGAGTCCATCCCCTGAATCCACCTGCGTCTCAGGGCAAGTACATGGTGGCTTTTGGTCCGCGATTTACCCCCTATCCGCCACCTGGGGTCGCGCCACGTAGCCTCGCCACCAACCGGCTCGAGATCTTTCAGTGAGAGAGGACCCTCAGTGAAAGAGATAAAAGCAATAGCCAATTCCTATTACTGCCCTCGTTAGTTCAAGAACGGAGTTCTCCGTCAAAGTAGTCCTTCCCATGTTACAAGTCGAGCCGCCGGAACACCCGAATAAGTTCGTTCTCCTGAGCGGTTCTTGGCCGAATGCCGGTGTTACAGTACAAATGCTTCTTGGTTCCAGTTCCAAATGCGAGAAAATTCTGCGTTTTCCGTTTGATTGTGCACAAACACATCTTCGCTGAAGAGCCGTCCCTTCTTTACGGTCCCCAGCTGAACCTTGATCACGCTGGAATGCGCTGTTCAAGGCGCTGTCGCGTTATCCTCTCTGCAGACACACTAATGCCATTCGTATCGTTTTTCTGCTAAACGCCGCAATCTCTCAGAAAATTACTTCTCAAAGTACGCTTCACCAACCTGTGGGTTCCTCTTACATGGAGACCATATGCTCTCTTGGAACGTCCACTGAATATTGTGAAGGCCAGCAACATGTTCTCCCTCTTCGCTTTTCGAATAGTAAATGGTGTTGGTGACATCTTCGACACCGGCTGGTCTTCAGAATCCTTTGACGAGCGCTTACGCGCTATCGACACTGCACAAAAGTTTTCCGTAGCCTTCAGGGTACCTGCTATCGTACCCTACTCGACTTGAAACTTTACTGACTTTACAAACGGAACAGTTTAATGATATACAAAATCAATAATTTTATTGAATGTGTTCCATGTCTCGCTTTTCCTCTCTAAAGAGGGTAAGATATGTGTATTGAACGATTGAGCTCTGATCTAGGGCTTACAATGTGTAGATGAGAACGTTGCTATATTTGTTGAACGTGTTCCATGCGGCTTTACGGCGCCGATTGTGATGACGACAGGCGGTGAGGGGTATAACCTGATCTATCGCCAAACTATTATTCCTCAGCTAAACAATACACTGGCGCTCTGAAAATCGAAATTACAAATCTTTTTGGGTCTTTTTTGCATTTCTAAATCCACCTTTAGAATGGTCATTTTGTGTTTGATAGCTTGCCTCTGCAGCGTTTGGAAAGCTTTCTAAAGTACCTAAAGAGCTGACCTTCCTTGACCACCCTTGCGCAAGGTGCCAACCTGCGCTAAATGGAAGCCTAAGCGGATTTATATGCAACAAAATTTCACTGAAGATTAAGGGTGATTCGTTTCTTGTGTATGGTGGGCCGTCCTGTTGTTGTTTAGTATCCGTTCATAACTGAATTCAATTCAGAAAATATTGAAATCACCCCTCAAGCGGTAATTCACCTTTTACCATACACCCTTCAGCGGTACTACTAATTCACCCTTAATTGAATGGTAATTCACCCTTCAGCGGTAGTACTTGGAGCGCCGGTCGAAGAACATTTCTGACTCGATCTGCTTATTTTTCTCGCTCAAACTGAAAAGTCTGCTCTGTTGTGTGTACATTACTATAATAATGAGCTGTTCAACTGTATTGTGTGCGCCAATTTTCAAGAAAGGGTAGTCAAATTTTCTATATACAATGAGTTTCACATGGGAAGTGGAGTACGGCGGATCGACCGACTAGTACGACCACACCCTCTCCGATTCTCTGCGGTTAGGGGCTTTTTTTCTTCAAAAAGGTTCTTGGCCTTTATGGGCCATGCGTGTGGAATACTGTACCTAACTCAGCCTCGTAAGCGGATCAAGGAATGTCAAGGAGGGTTGAGAAACAAGCTGTGAATTATTCTTGTGGTGTAAAATTTAGCACAGCTTTCATTTCATGTGATTGTAATCAGCCATCGCGCCCGACTGATTTAAAAATTCCTTTACTAGGGGAGGGGGCTGGATGCGACCACGGGAAGGAGTCGCCAACAAACAGGCTGGAAAACGGTTGAGGGAATCCTCGACAGGGGTCTAGTCAGTTCGATTGGAGGTGGAGGTAGCCATTCAGATGTCACTCGCTGGCTGTGACAGGATCGATGTTTTTTTCAGTCTGAGTTGGAGAAAACTTTATGATAAAACAGGATGACATAAAATTCAACTGGAATGGACTGTGAAGGGAAACCGTGGAAGGTCGCAGTGCGTCGGAATGATTAGAGATCTCTACTCCCAAAGACCATGGAACTGACAAAGCCTTTCTGTCAAGGCGCATAGAGGAAGCGACATTTTAAAGTAGCCAACCTTAGTAAAAAATAATACATTCTTTCTGTGTGAGCTAACAATCACGAAATTGGTGCTAAAACCACATCATCATAATAGAGGTTCAAAAAACGATTCCATTGCCAAAGTTCGAATATGGGATTATTGAGGAAAGGAAGAGAAAAAAACTCAGTTGGATGATTGTTCTTGAAATGCAAATTCACTAGGGTTATTATACTTATGAAACACACCTTGTCATACATAATCTATGTCAAGGCGGATGTTAGATAATTAAATGTTAAAGGAGATGCCGCCCTGAACACGATGCCGCTCCTCCTCATGGGGAAGCGGAAAAGCGGAATCTGGTGTACTTGCCGGAGGGCCACAGATGCAGCAAGCGTTGGCAAGGCCTTTCTTATTTGTTTTCTCTTATTTAAGGCTAAAAGGTCTTTGCTGTATGTTCTTCTTAACCAGCTGCTCACTGTGCTCCACCTTCAATTATTTGCAAAGGCGATCAGTTTAGATCGCTTGTCCGGTGTAGAGAGAAAAGTCTTTTTAGTTTGACGTGAAATCAAGGAGATTTTGTAAGCGTCACTTCTGAAAACCCTGGTTGGGTGCTTGTGAAAATCTAATAATAGTCGATTGCATATTCAAATGATTTTGTGCTAAATGATTCAAGTGCATGCAATCGTCAGCTTTATTTGACTTGACTATGAATAAATAAATAAATAAACAGAGAGGTCAAATATATCTGTACTGGTAGGTGATTTGCGATTGAAGGTAGATGTTGTATGAGATGACTGGTGTTGGGTTTAGACTGCTGACGATGATCTTTTTCAGGTGTTCGGTACAGCACGCCCTGCAATTAGCACTAAATTGTCAATGTTGAAAAATCGCTAACAGCTTAAAAGTTTTTAATTTGTACTACCGAGTCAGGTCGCATCTGGCCATATACCTAACAGGGATGTTTCAACGATCTAAACAGAAAATGAGCGCATGGCGCTCATCTACATCGACACCCACTCACTCTACTATCCTTCAGTACCGTGACAGAAATGATTTCTTCAGACATGAATGTCTGACATAAATATTAACACGTTGACGACAGCGTGACGCGGTAACGCGTCCCACTTTGCGCACCTCGTGGGACATTGTGACGCGGTAACGCGTCCCACCCAAGTCATCCCTTTTTCTTGCGCGCTTGCGACTTATTCCTAAGGTCTTTGTACTCATTCTATAGGTCATACATTTAGCATACTCTGAAAAAAACCACATGGCTCACAGAAAGGTCAAATATTCTTTAGTTTGGCAGACATTTTCCAGACCTTATGGATATGTCTGTTCGATTCATTCCTCGTTTTCTTTTCAATAACGTAGACATGTTGATAAAAAGGAATAACAGAAGTGAATACAAACCTATTCGTATGGGAAGATATGTGTTTTTACTGAAACAACCACGTCCCAAATTAATTTTGGAACCACTAAAGGGAAAATTAAGTAAAATTTCCCTTTTCATGGCCTTAACACGTCATTTGGTCAAACTTCCATTACTGTAACTCCTGATAAGCTAGACAGATCGAACATCATTGAAAACATTTCATCGCATCTAAGTATTGCGGATTTACAACTTAAAATCCATGGATTTGGTGTGCGGCGGCTGCGCTCGCAAAATCGCTCTTGTCCCACGAGGTGCAAAAGCACAAAACGCGCGATGTCGTCAACGTGTTTAAATAACCATAGTAAGTCGTACCTTGGATTGGTTTTAAGCTTATCAGGCATTGTTTTGAACTCAATTCCTTGCGTCCAGCAACCATAACGGCAATCAACTCCTACCGTTTTGGTCACCTGAACTTGGATTTTTTTCCCGGCTGGAGCCTGAAAGTGAATCATTTCCTGATGTTCAGAGTAGTTCTTATCAAAATTCTTTCCAGTCTCAGTTATGCATAGTTTCCTAACAGACCTTGATCCAGTCATTGCACTTTGCGTGAGTGTCGCGGAGCCCTGGGTTCGTGGCGTTACCTACAGTGACCACTTTCGATTTCCAGGTTGGACCTGCTGTCAACACCGCGCCACACCCTGCTGGCTGAAATTGCCTCTTTAACGTTCGTACCATATAACACACACCCCTTTTTCCTAGCTTGCATGTTCTCTGTTCTTGAATCAGAATTTGAATCATATAACTGAGAACGGCTCACCCGAAGGTTGCACAGCGCGCCACCGTAACCGGCAGGACAAATGCATGCAGCACAGTTCTTTGGATTCCGCTTTCCTCCATTCACACATGCTGCACCTTTGGCTGCACATATGCCTATAACAGATTCGACATCAAAGAATTCAAAGACCAAACCGAAAATGTCGAATATCAGAAACTGTTGAAAATGCAGCTATGACGTTGGTTGAGAGGAATGAGGAAGGAAAATTTCCTACCAATTTCTAAAGTTGCCAAAATGGATATAACACTGCGACAAGCAGGGCATCTACCCAGGTTCAAAAATCACGTTGTAAAAATTTTTGAAGTACGAACATTAAAGGAATCCTTCACGGAAAAAGCTCCGCCCTCATTACCACAGAAAACGATACCTTAAAGGAATCTTCCACGGAAAGAGTGATCATTTTGTCTTGTGTGTAGGATTAGTATTATCGAAACTAACGCTTATGTTCCGTTCTTTTTGCTATGCTCATGAGGCTAGGGGCCTAAGGGTATCGTTTTTCTGTGGTAATGGAGGCGGAGCTTTTCCGCGGAAGATTCCTTTTGAAGTCCCTGAAGGGGCTCCCCACGCGAACACTCCACCTCTATGGCTGACAATGTCGATAGTATCATGAAACTGCTATCATTAGGTACAACCAAACCTCGCCCATACAATTCTACTCGAAAAGTGGCGCTGAGCATGGAGGGTTTTGCTTACCTGTAGCTACTAACAATCACCTCTTCCTCGCGGATAATCTTACCCTTCTCCAAAAACATACCCTACTACCCTCTACCTGTTTGCAAGTCATCACTTGACAGACCAGTTATTTCTGCCTCTACTAAAATCGGTTGTCCATCGGTCGACAAATGCCGAATCGCGGCGGAAGAAGTGTACAGTTGAGAAGTAATCGACCAATCCTTGTCAAGAAGCTGGGGTGGGAAGCGTCATTGAAACCGAATGAATACAATCGCAGCTTTCGATAAAAAGCTACATACATCACCCACCATTGCACTTGTAATGAGAGTTGATCAGGAATATGTCGTAGAATGAAACCTGCTGCGATCCCAACGTGTACAGATATGTCGGGCTTTTGGGGACAAGAGAGTGTCCACTTGAGGCGAATCTATAAATGATATATGAAAGGTGTGACATATGAAAGGACCATCTTCCATTGGTTTGAGCACGCTTACGATTTAGCGTCGTAGTGCATGGCACTGCCATATTCGTACGGTGTGTAGTTGATGGATTCGGCTGCAGTGAGTTTGTTGTAGTTGTGTTGGCTTTCTGTCTGAAAGAGGGACCATTAAACACACTATCAGTAACACTTTGGTCCCGTTAAAATGGTGCGATGCCACATGGTGCGCCTGTGAAGAAAACCAGGAGCCCATTTTTTGTGGAGCTGAACCGAATGGGCTGAGAACGCATTGGCCTGCTCCAAAATAATTTTGGAGAATCATTAGTCTCTGTGCTACTGGATGATAAATTGCGTGGCTCATCTTTAAAGAGGAATTTTACCAAAGCTATGGCGCCGCTCTTTGAGGTTTATGAAATGCTAACAACGAAGGGTCTTAGGTCGCCATGGACATTCAGGAAGAGATGTACACCCCTTGTAGTGTCTTCGAACGCTGATCTAACCTTCCAAATCGGCTAAACGATTCAAAATCGTGCAAATCTACTAGTATGGGGACCCATAGTCAAAACGCCATCGGATCAATCTCGTCAGTGTTTTCTCCCCCTCTTTTCTTTTTGGAAACCAGCACGAATAACCTTTACCAGCCTACTTTGCTGTTTTTGCTTAAGAAAGCAAACTAGTTAGAACGACTAAAGGCAGCTCCTACGACGTTTGAATCCCAACCACTACCGTTGCGCTATTTTGCTTGTAACCCCGTTCAGAAAATCGTCTACCAGATTCAGAAGGTAGATTTGAGGTCAGCGGTTGAAGGCACGTTTAGGCCTTAACATTTTTACTTGAATGGCATGGTAACCTAGTAGCATCTTTTCCTTGTAAGTATGGATACTTGTAATAGTAAGATTTACCGGCACATTTGTCATATCAACTGTTATGAAGTTATCACGATCCGATCGACTTTGCATATGCCATATACCGAGGGCATGCATGAACTCGTGAGCGATGATTCCAATCTGAAACATTGAAAGCCTTCAAAGGCAAATTTTACACTTAGGGAAATGGTTTTGGAGAGGCCTAATTTGCAGGATAGAAGCCGTTGTTTCGACCGTCCGTCGTGAAAATCGCGGAGTAACATATGTGAAATTAAGTTGCCTCAAGTGGAAACCACTGCAATTATTGCCTATCTTATGAACTATCCTTAAGATCGATCTAATTCTCGAGTCATCTAGGATAATCTTCTCCACCTTTCTTATTCGTTCGTAGGGCAAGGTAAGCAACGTCGATAGCGCTCCTCAACCACAAGTTCAATTTGGTGCTATTCGGAGGGGAAGGTAGGGCTGAAGTGTACACATATTGGAAAACTCATTAGACTTTCTGGGAAATTTCCACGAGATTTCGCAAAAGTGCGTGAAATGTTGGAATATTGTGAAAGGTTCAGGATTTGTGTCATCTGTACTGCCCGCTGCCCTTCCATTTGGGGAGATCAGGTTCAGCTTCACGAAGGTTGGAAGGAAGAAGTGTGAGGCACACGTGTACGCGAACTGTGGGACACTCAACTGGGAGTAGCTAGGAGCCTTCTCTTCATACCATTAACTTACCGTATTGCAACCATCAGCCAGCGATAGGTCCTGTGTTGACCTCCGATCATGCCAACATTCGAATAACATCCACTTCCGCTGAATACACGAATGCGGTTAACGGCTGTGGCGTTCTCCACGAAGGTGAGGCATGTGCGAGCGCTGATATAGTTCAGCGCTTTCTTGACGAGGGATTTCATGGGATCACCTGAAAGGGAAGAAGTAAACGCGATTGTTGGTCTGTGAAAATCTCTCGAATCACTGACTGTCACGTACCAATACTTGGGTCAAAATAGTAGAAGACTTTTTTGTTTGCCCATAGCGGAGCAGTCTTCGAAGCTTGCCGTTTTTGGCGAGTGGTGTTACTATTCAGACTCGCCTCAAGTGCGGAGAGTTGTTCTCTGTAACTCAATGACTGACAAATGTTATAAGCGTAAAAAAATCAGCCGAAGTCATTCGAATTTTTTTTCTACGCCATCTTTCTGGAGAATATAATAGCGAATATGGTCATCTAGAAGGGAACTTGGTGAGGAAAGTGGTTGGATCCTATCATGGCCATGGATCCAACCTGGAAATTGCTGTCAATAGCATACCAGAAAAGGGGATTTTGCGGGAAGCGCTGAAGAAAAAGCAAGAAATGATCACGTAGAAAATCGAGGAAAACCTCGACATCCCCGAACAGTACTTCGTCTTCACGTCGCAGTCTAGGAAATGTGCGTGAGCAGGGTGAATATATGGTGGTGTCTGTTCGCGAGTATGACAGGTTTGCATACATGGAAAGATGAAGTTTCGCGTAGTGGCAATGTGGCTTTAAGATGACTAGCAGGAGCCACTCAGTGTACAAGTCAGTATTTCTATCCTTCCAATAAGTTTCGCAGGAAATGACCGACCGCGAAAGGCGGGCGGCCCTGGGGCAGGGTCGGTCCTATCGTTGCTACTTTTCGAAAAATTTTTACGACCCCCCTCCCCAAGGTGGATTTGGTACGACCCCCTTCTCGACCCTCGACCACCATATTCCTCGCTATAGTATTTAATTCTGGTATCACTCAACTCAAACCACCAAACTCCGCCCACTTTTTCCTCCAAAAATGCCGTCGAGCGGGGGTATATAGTCACTCTGAAACCGTAAAAATTCCCTAAATTTCCACCAATTTACCCCCTCCTACCTTTAATCCCACGCTTCATCTTTCAAGGGGATATACAGGGGGGGGGGCAAAAAAAAAGACATTTTGCCTATGTCGGACTTCGGCTCTTTTTTCTTCGCAGAGATTGCTGTCGTTGACGGGAGTTCCTCAGCAGAGTATTCCCTAAGTGTTCCTCTATTAGTGTACGCAGGCTCTCCTTCACTGCCCTCACCGTCTTCAGAATATGACGTCATCTGTCACCGTCGTCAGGCTCAAGGAGGTCTACCGTAAGAGCTTCAGCCTGAAGCTCTTACGCAATTTCGTGAATCGATTTAATGTTGGATAGTTTTCTAGAGGCATTAGCTACCACTGTGCAAATCCCTCGGAACTAGCTTTCCAGTAAGGGTCGTTATGGTACACGATCCTTCGAAGACCCCATTGAGATCGACCAGTGCACCATGTTTCCAGGGCTAATTCTTCTGATGCCGTCCACGTACGTGGCCACTATGAAGATTTTCTTATAGAATGGAATGCACTCTTTAATAATAAGTTGGAACCGTTCGGTCTGAGTTGAGTAAAATGTGCTTAAATCCATCTGGAAGTGGAGGCAAAATGTCTTTTTTTTTGGCCCCCCCTGTATACGCGCGCTGAAACGGCAAATTTTCTCCCGCGCCACTCCTCCCTCACCTCATGCAACTTCTCACAATCGAAGCAAGTACCCCCCCCCTCTACAACCTCATCAAAATATACGACCCCCCTCTACAAACTCATCAAAATGTACGACCCCCCCTCTAAAAACTCATCAAAGTACGACCCCCCGTTGCTACTTGTAGCAACGTAGGACCGACCCTGCTGGTAGCTTGGGATAACACCCGTCTTGATCCTCAACCGTGCGCGGGAGAGAAAGAAACACAACCTCCACTCCTGAAGCAAAAGGAAGGTCTTGCTTATTACAGTCCAAGGGGTATGAAATCCTTCTTAGGTAGGTGGTAGTAACATAATAAATGGAGGAATATCACTTCTTGCCGATTTCAGTGATATTACCTACTTTCTTCGGCTAGTGCCGAGGTTTCCGTTGCTCACTGTTTATTGTAACCAATCGCGAACTTTTCTTGCCTCGTTGCGACTATCATTGAAGGAAAGGAGGCGATTGCGACTGGTGGGCAGTACTCGATATAAGTGCTGAGGTTAGCGCTTACGTTTTGCTACTTTCAGTTGTCAGCATCGCAAAGTTTTTTGCAAAGTCAACTAGCTATTTCCAGAAGAACATGCCAGTGAGTTAGTTGTGGAAAGTAAGGGAAGGGAATTTAGGGACGTTTTGGAGCTTCGACATACTATTTTGACCTTAACTTTACTAAAGCTTCATTGGAAAAATAATTGTAGGAAGTTATGCGACTTATATTTAAAGGCAAAGGTCGGGCTCAGGCACGCTAGAGAAGTAATTCCCGTGCCTGGAGGTTGTATGTGGGTAGCTGCACACATTGCAGCAACTTCCCACCTTGAAAAACCCCGTTAAGGCCCCGGGGCGTTCGGTTTCAATCCAGGGCCGCCTGGTCAATCCAGGACCGCCCACCTCCGGAAGTGGTGCGTGGCTGGCATAACGTGTGAAATCAGCTAGGTTGATTGCCGTATCAACCGATAGAACGACTGACATCTCCAGAAAACTTGTTTGTACGTGCCTCTTCCCCAAGCCAGCCTCCTTCACTGCTAGTGGGAAAGGGTTTTGTTAACGGCCTTGTCGACGGTTTTCTCAGTTTCGCAGTCTCTATACTCAGTTTCAATCGCCATAATACCACATATTGAGCCCGACTTTTGCCTTCAAGTAGACAAGAGAGAGCTGCCAGTACTGTTCGAGATTGGCCTGCCATTTCCAGGCACGGCCCACTCTGCTCCAGACGGCATGGCTCTCTTCAAACGATCTCACGAGAAGAACAAAATTCACACGGTGCAACATTTTCCCCCGAATACGTAATGTGGACTTACTCGGTGAGATTGATGTCGCCCTCGTACAGGTATTCGTCGACCCCTTCCAGGCGATTTTTCTCAATTATTGATCCCCCTCCAAATTGATCATTCGATGCTGTTGCTTCCTGAATTGAACAAAATCAGGCGGTTTTACTATCAAATGGAATTGTGGCCTTGCAAATAGAAACGTCCTAACATGCTCTGCGGTGTTCATTGATGTAGCCGCCAAGGAAGACCTCTGATCCATGTCGATCACGCGCAGGTTCCTCAGTCTTTCGAGGCGTTCGTCAAGATCGATTCCTCGGAGGGCCTGGAAGCTTTTTATGAATGCATACACTATTGGCTCTATTTGTACCTACCCTTATCAAGGATGTTCTGCCATTATCTGAAAGACAATGACCTACCATCGAGAAGCAAGAGGAGTAAGGCGACAATCGCAACGGCTTGGCAAGGCTTCGAGTTCATGCTGAAAAAGCTTCATTTGCTGAAAGTTACTCAAACTTCTGAAGAGCATGACCGTAAGCCATACATATAGGCTACTTGTTAAGAGAGATAATACGATTGCTTTTATAACAATAAGAAACTGGCTGCTTTCTGTGAAGAAATCATTTGTATAGACAGGACTATGATTTATATGAGCTTAAACCACGGAAAATATCAGCAAGTAGGCATCAACTTAAGCTTTCCACCAGAATTTGAGAAAATCACTATTATCTAATATGTACATGGGTTCACCCTCTCAGGTTGCAGACAGGCCTCGTGCACATTCTAAGCGTTCTTCACTTCTGCTCAGAACTGTAGGAGTCACCTCAAATGTCCACACTGAACGGCCGAAGGTCTCAATTTGGAGCTCAATCCACGGGCATTCATTCTATCGGTTCCATTATTCTTGTGACACTTCAAGTTGGAAATTCTGTCACATTGAATCACGGTAAGATTCCCCAAGATAGTAGTACTGGTGGGGCCATTAATAACAGAAGGACCTATGAGTGGCTGAGGCTTTTCAGTTATACAAATTTGAAGGTCTGGCTATTTCTAAAATAAACGGAACGGTGATGGATTCTCTATCTGGCCTATGTCTATAATTCATCAGCTAACAGTATATGCCTTTGCTTGGGTACTACTTGCCGATCATAGTAGTAATAAAAAAGGAAATTGTGATTGGCGCTGGACCAAGTGAAGAACTATTGAAGGCCGAAAATGAGGCCGTTGGATGTGTCTTGCTTGTACACCCTTATAAAGGCTCGACGGAGTTACTGAAAACGGCAGATAAATATTCAGGATTAGCATTCCTCACTAGGAGCGTTCCCTCTCAATAGATCAAGGAACGTTCCCGAGCAGATCCGATTATTTCGAACGCTAGAAGCGAAATGCTGTATGTAAATGGCTACAGCGATTAAGTGTTTAACTACTACGCTCAAAGCTTATAGTAGGCTAGAGCAACAATGTTTTTTGTACGAAATGTGAAGCGTCGCGGTTGGACCAAAGAGCATAATCACACCGGAACGTAGTCCTCGTCAAAACGTTCCTTCCCATATTTTAAGTAGAGCCACTAGCACATCCTAATAAGTTCGTCTTCCTCGGCGGCCCTGGCCCAATGCCGGAATTACAATACAAATGGTTATTGGTTCAAGTTCCAAATGCGAGAAAATTTAGCATTCTCGTGTTTCCGTTTACTCGCGCACAAACACATCTTTGCTGAAGAACAACCTCTTATTTCACGGTTCCCAGCTGAACCTTGATCACGCTGGAATGCGCTGTTCAAGCCTTGTTGCGCTATCCTCTCAGGACACAATAATGGCATGCAATCGTTTTTCTGCTAACCGCCGTAATCTTTTAGAAAATTACTTCTCAAAAGGACACCAACCTATGGCTTTCCTTTATCACGTAGAGACCATATGCTCTCCTATGGTTAGAGCGTCCACTGAATATTGTGAAGGCCAGCAACATGTCTCCCTCTTCGCTTTTCGAATAGTAAATGGTGTTGGTGACATCTTCGACGGCGGCTAATCTTCAGTTTCCTGTAACGGAAGGTTACGCACTATCGACACTGTGCACAAGTTCGCTCCATAGCCTAGGTAGTAACTGCTACCCTACCCTCCTCAACTTGAACTGTGTTCCATGTTTTGTTCTCAAGCACTAAAGAAGGTAAGATATGTGATTTGAATACTCAAGCTCTGATCTGAGGCTAAGCAATCTTTGGAAGATCGCTACTATATTTGTGGAACATGTTCCGCGCTGCTTTATGGTATTAGGCTCAGATGGCCAACGTCTATAAGTTTTCAGATAAAGAATACATCGAAGCTGTGAAAACTGAAATTACAAATCTTTCCGGATCCTTTTTTGCATTCCTATGCCCGCCTCCAGACAGCATAAGTCATTTTCTGTTCCATGCCTTGCCTCTGAAGCAGTTGAAGAGCTTTCTAGTAATAAGCGACATGACCTTCCTTCATGACATCTATGCAAGCCTCCAACCTGCGCTAGAAGGAGATCTAAATGGACTTACATGGCATAAAATTTTACTGCAGATTGAGGGTGTTTCCTTCTCTTCGTATGGTGGGCAGTCCTGTTGTTGTTAAGTATCCGTTCATAAATGAATCGATTCGGAAAATATTGAAATCCCCCTTAAAAGGTAATTCACCGGTACTTGGAGCGCGGGTCGAAGAACATTTCTGACTCGATCTGCTTATTTTTGTCACTCAAACTGCAAAGTTTGCTTCGTTGCTCGTAAGTTACATTACTATAACAATGAGCTGTTCAATTGTGTTCTGTGCACGAATTTTTAAGAAAGGGTAGTCAAATTTTTATGTACAATTAGTTTTGTATGGGAAGTGATGTACGGCAGATCGACCGAAGAGTACGACCACACCCTCCCCGATTCTCTGCAGTGCGGAGCATATTTTCTTCGAAAAGATTCATGGGCCATGCGTGTGGAATACTGTACCCTCACATCTTAACAGCTGGGTTCAAGTGCATGTGGAATTGATTTTCCTAACAATACTACATAAAGTTTCCAGAGAACCCACATGAGAGGACAGCCTCAAACTTCTTTCATGAGCGCTTAGAGCCACCAACGGCACGTGAACCACATTTCGCACTCATTGAGTGCACGTCTAACATGCAGAAAATTGCATCGCTAAGCATCGCTGCTCTGCATTGCATTCTGTTGTCTAAAGCAAATCCTTGTTCATCAGCAGACAACTGGCCCTGATCAACCGCCAAATTCAATCACAAATTGTGAAGTATTGGTTTCGCTGGAACCTCGCCTCCCGTTCGAGGTGAGCTTGGAGTGTGTTTCTCGCGTAAAGGCAGCTTAGTCCGGTCCAGACACCTGAGTCGTGGATCAAGCTTTCTAAGATTTCCCTGCTGCTTTGCCTTGGTTTAGCTTTACTGTTGACTTCCAGCCGTCTCGATCATTCTTGCGTCTTTAGAAAAGAAGACTGTCATACTATTGACCTGGCCCTTTCCTTAGTTTACTGATCTGTGTTGTACCACATTACCATGACCTCCAAGAACTGCTGTAGCTGTTGATATACAGGGGTGGCCAAAAAAAAGAGACACTTCACTCCACATTCAAAACGGAATTATTTACGCGTTGCGAAACCAAACCAAATGATCCCAACTGAATATTGAAGAGCACGTTATAATCTATCAACAAGCTACACAACAGCCTTCTACACCGACGACATCAGAAGATTTTCCCACGGAAACATGGTTCACGGTACGAGCTCAACGAGGTCGTCGAGGTACCATAGACATTACGACGTCTCTGAAACGCTGGTCAAAAGCGGTTTTGCACAGTCACAGCTAATGTCTCTGGGAAGCTATTCAACAGTTAATTCATTGAAGAAATTATGTAGCAGCTTCAGGCCGGAGCGATTACGGTAAGCCTCGTTGAGCTCGACGGTGACGGCAGATGACGTCATATTCTGAAGACGGCGGGGGCAGTGAAGGAGGGCCTGCTTCTGTTTACGGGGGAACACCTAAGGAATATTCCGCCGTAAAACTTTCATTAACATCGGCTCCCTGTGCGACGAAAAGTTCGATGATGTGCGCCATGGGCTAAGTGTCTCTTTTTTGGCCACCCCTTTATCTTTGTTAGGTCATGTTATCCCTACTTGTGTTGCATCACATGTCGACACCGATGGCGACTGAAATGACAGCTCCCTGTGTCCGAATAATACTCATGCGTACCGAATGGCAATCGAGAAGCTATCGGGGGCTTTTACTAGAGTCTTTTCGGCAGCCATAGCCCCCCCCCCCATTGTGTCATCTGGACCAAAATGATTCTCTCTGATCTCCCCTCTGAAATCCGACACTCCATTTCGTAAGTGGAAATCATGGCTGTCTCCGGTTCCGACAGAATCATACCGGAACATTTGATGAATTGAGCATCGTTCATCATCGAAACTGAAACTATCTGTCAGAATGCAAGTACCCCCCTCGAGGGATCTCAGTAGGGGTACAGTAGCGGTCAAAAGTGTTCGCCGAAAAAGTTTTCCATGCGCTGTTTGTGTTTGTTTGCTTGTAGAATTTTCATGAGATAGTGAGCTCTGTATTTTGGTATTTTCTAATTCTCAAAACTTAAAAGCCCACGATATTGAAAAGAAAAATTCGCAGTCATTCGTAAAGCTATTTTTGAAAAAAAGGTACAGCGCGAAAAGCCATTTCGGCTATCACTTTTGACCGCTACTGTACGTTGCTGTACAAGAAGTGATGCTTATACAAGTGTGGCAGTTAATGCCCAATTCGATTGCTTCAAAGGTTATAAGAAATCCCACAGCTGAGGTCCCAGGGCTCAACACTGATTCCCTTTCAAATATTTTCTGAACTTCGAGCGCTGAATGCAACTGAGCAGGTCCAACGCCTCAGTGATTGCCCAAAACAGCCTATACCTCTCATAGCTCTACTTCTACGATTACCTTCCCTGTCGAGCCTTGGGCAATCCACCCTGAAAAAAGGTGGTTATCATTCGTCGAGGAATCCGCAGAAATCAATTAACAAATTCTCCGTTTTTTATTGATTTTTTGCTGCAATAGTTTTGAGGAATATTTGGATGTGCGTATGCCTATAGAAGGAGGTCATGATACCACACAACATTGATGTTTACCATGATAGTCGTCATATTATAACAATCAACCAAAAATCTCTCTATTATTCTCGCTCAGCATATCCAGTTACGAAATCGTTGCTTTAACGCCAATGTGTCCGATATGCCCAAAATCGTGAATGTGATAGGGGTTTGCCGTCGGAGTTCGTGCGGATCCCAGTAACGCCTCAATACAGGGGTGGCCAAAAAAAGAGACACTTCACTCCACATTTCAGACAGCATTAATCACACTTTGCTAAAATCAAATCGACTGCCCCAACTCAGTATTGAAGAGCACATTCTAATCTATCTAAAAGTTACATGACAGCCTTCTACACCGACGACATCAGAAGATTTTCCCACGGAAACATGGTTCACGGTACGAGCTCAACGAGGTCGTCGAGACCATTACGACGTCCCTGAAACGCTGGTCAAAAGCGGTTTTGCATAGTCACAGCTAATGTCTCTGGGAAGCTATTCAACAGTTAATCCATTGAAGAAATTATGTAGCAGCTTCAGGCCGGAGCGATTACGGTAAGCCTCGTTGAGCTCGACGGTGGCGGCGTCGAGCTGGTCGTATGATTTTTTTTGGTGGCTCAGCGGATCCAATCTCTAATTGCTCTAGCACACGGTCATCACAAATTTACATGGCATGTCTAGCCATCCTAATCTTCGATTCCGTGGGAAATGCGGCAGGTTCCTCAATATTTGGTCGTTGATTAGTTCGCTCTCACTCAGGATTCTCTTGAGTGATAGGGAAACCTACAGCAATACCTTTCCACAGTGTGCTGGATAGCGCTAATCGCATGCTCGTCCTGACAGCACAGAGTCCAAGTCTCTGAGGCGTAGGTTAAAGGAATCCTTTCCAGAGAAATATTGCGTTCTTCCTCAACACCCATATGTCAGCTGTGATCACTAGAACAACACACAAAGTTTCACGCACAAAGATTCAGTTTCCGAAGAGAAACAAACTTACAAAACCACACTCTATGGACAATCGAAGGTAAGTGGCGCGAAGCCAGTCCTTCTACGTCCTCAAGTCCTTTATCTCGGTACTGGCAACAAAGAAACCGCAAGTGGAAATCCTCAAAAACAAAGCACTGCTGCTGGGTTTTGCACCCTGTGCATAAGGTTCGGCGGTCTTTTGTCCTTGCTCGGAGTCCTACCACATGCAAATGCGCAGATCATGTTTTGATTAACCATCTTCGAGCAAATGTTTCGGCTCGAGAACAACCGCTTATTGGAAACCTTCTATATGCATTCGGAGAAGCTCTCTTGAATGAGTGCTCCTCCATCGTAGGAAATTGAGTTTCAACTGAAAAAAATAACCATAAGGCGCAAAAGGAAGCGACATTTTAAAGTAGCCAACCTAGTAAGAAATAATACATTCTTTCTGTGTGAGCTAGCAATCATGAAATGGTGCTAAAAGCACATCATAATAGAGGTTCAAAAAACGATTTTTATTGCCAAAGTTCGAATACGGGGATTATTGAGGAAAGGAAGAGAAAAAACTCAAGTGGTTGATTGCTCTTGAAATGCAAATTTCGAGGGTTATTACTTAACCCTTAGACTACGACTTTTTTAGAATCGAGTTATAAATGTGTTCTGCGTTGCAATTATCCCTCCCAGCAACAGGCAACCAGCTGTAGAAATTTGGCTGATGTACGTTGGGTGTGACCTGGGATTTGATCTAGGGACCATGCGCGCGGTAGCGGCCCGTCTTGTCATAACACCATTTCCGCTCGGATGATTTTTTTGTTCAATAAATTGGCAATTCTACAACCACACATTTTTTTACAATATTAAAGTCTTCAATGACCCGAAAACTTTTACAAAAAAAGTTTGAAAAGGTCAACATTATATGGTCTATGAATGGTACGGAGTAAAACATGATATACACAAGGGCACGTTGCAAGCAGCACACATTATTTTTGTACGAGTTTCTTTCTTTGACATCGCGCAGTATCTACATCGCCGACGCGTTTTTAACTGTAGTGGCATATGGTCCCCAACGTTGATGATCCTCCTGAAATTTTTTGGTGGCCTCCCCATGCCGGGCTTGCGCCTGTTAGCCTCCCCTGCGCAATCATTTGCTGAGCAAGAGGAACAAGGAATTTGATCAGCTTCGTTTTCTCGTGATGGATTTCCTGATATATTATCCATGCGTTTACAACCGCCACCTGTAGTATTTTATAGTACACCTTACCACCATTTTCTGGAACGTCTATTGAAGTCGTAAAGTGCACATTTCTGATCAGACAGATCTACTCCGCCCATTATGCTGCTGTAGAAGGAGACAGCTTCAGGGCATTCAACTTCTTTTCGCGATCCATCCTTCATTGTGCGCAACACATGCGTTGTAGTCAGCGTGACAATTGCTGACTACCAGGACCTCCTTGCAGTCTTTCCAACGGGCACACAGCGTACCAGCTCCATTTACCGCAAACTCAAAGCTGCCACGTTCGCCAAGCTTTTCTGAAAACTTGGGAACATAGTAGGAATTAGGAAGCCTCTATATGTGCACAGTTCAGCCATCAAATGAGCCCTCCTGCCTCAATATTCCCTGGAACTGTGGTAGTGTCTTTGACTACGAAGTGGGACACATGTGTACCACCAGTAGTCAAAGATTAACTTACGCAGGATGACTCGCTTTAGCTTCTGACGACTAATTGTCATAGTAGGAATTAGAAAGCTTCTATATGTGCACAAGTTCAGCCATCAAATGAGCCTCCTGCCTCAATATTCCCTGGAACTGTGGTAGTGTCTTTGACTACGAAGTGGGACACATGTGTCCCACCAGTAGTCAAAGGGTTAAACACACCTTGCCACACATAATATATTCAAGGCGGATGGTAAGATAATTCAAAAGTTAAAGAAAGGAAGATGCGCCCAAAATAGAAATGCCAGCTCCCCTCCCTCCTGGAAGCGGAAAAAGCGGAAACTGGTGTAGCTTGCCGGAAGGACCACAGCTAGCAGTCCAGCTATGGCAAAGGCCTTTTCATTATTTGATTCTTCTCTTCAATTGAGGCCTCAAAGCGTTTTTTCTGTTTTTCTTTCTTACCCGCTGCTCCACTCTCCACCTGTACTTTTATTTTAAACGGCGACCAGTTTGTCTGTCCTCGAGAGAGAAACTCGGAATTGGTTTCTTAGAGATCTACCTCGTTATCCTGACGCGACAATTCCTTGAGGCCTCTTCATCTTTTCAGTTTCAAATGAAATTTGAATTTTACAAGAAATTGAAGTTTTGCATGAGATTTTGTAAGCTTCACCTCTGAAAACCCTGGTTTGGTGCTTGTGAAAATCTGGTAATAGTCGATTCCATATTCAAATGATTTTGTGACGAATGATTCAAGTGCATGCAATCGTCAGCTTTATTTGACTTACTATGAATAAATAAATAAATAAACAGAGAGGTCAAATATATCTGTACTGGTAGGTGATTTGCGATTGAAGGTAGATGTTGTATGAGATGACTGGTGTTGGGTTTAGACTGCTGACGATTATCTTTTTCAGGTGTTCGGTACAGCACGCCCTGCAATTAGCACTAAATTGTCAATGTTAGAAAATCGCTAACAGCTTAAAAGTTTTTAATTTGTACTACCTGAGTCAGGTCGCATCTGGCCATATACCAACCGAGATGCTTCAACGACTCTAAACGGAAAGTGAGCGCATGGTGCTCATCTACACAGACACCAATCCACCCCGCTATCCTTCAATACCGTGACAGAAATGATTTCTTCTGACATGAATGTCTTCTGTACATAAATATAAAATAACCATAGTAAGTCGTACCTTGGATTGGTTTTAAGCTTATCAGGCATTGTTTTGAACTCAATTCCTTGCGTCCAGCAACCATAACGGCAATCAACTCCTACCATTTTGGTCACCTGAACTTGGATTTTTTTCCCGGCTGGAGCCTGAAAATGAATCATTTCCTGATGTTCAGAGTAGTTCTTATGAAGATTCTTCCAGTCTCAGTTATGCATAGTTTCCTAACAGACCTTGATCCAGTCATTGCACTTTGCGTAAGTGTCGCGGAGCCCTGGGTTCGTGGCGTTACCTACAGTGACCACTTTCGATTTCCAGGTTGGACCTGCTGTCAACACCGCGCCACACCCTGCTGGCTGAAATTGCCTCTTTAACGTCGTACCATATAACACACACCCCTTTTTCCTAGCTTGCATGTTCTCTGTTCTTGAATCAGAATTTGAATCATATAACTGAGAACGGCTCACCCGAAGGTTGCACAGCGCGCCACCGTAACCGGCAGGACAAATGCATGCAGCACAGTTCTTTGGATTCCGCTTTCCTCCGTTCACACATGCTGCACCTTTGGCTGCACATATGCCTATAACAGATTCGACATCAAAGAATTCAAAGACCAAACCGAAAATGTCGAATATCAGAAACTGTTGAAAATGCAGCTATGACGTTGGTTGAGAGGAATGAGGAAGGAAAATTTCCTACCAATTTCTAAAAGTTGCCAAAATGGATATAACACTGCGACAAGCAGGGCATCTACCCAGGTTCAAAAATCACGTTGTAAAAATTTTTGAAGTACGAACATTAAAGGAATCCTTCACGGAAAAAGCTCCGCCCTCATTACCACAGAAAACGATACCTTAAAGGAATCTTCCACGGAAAGAGTGATCATTTTGTCTTGTGTGTAGGATTAGTATTATCGAAACTAACGCTTATGTTCCGTTCTTTTTGCTATGCTCATGAGGCTAGGGGCCTAAGGGGTATCGTTTTTCTAGGGTAATGGAGGCGGAGCTTTTTCCGCGGAAGATTCCTTTCCCTGAAGTCCCTGAAGGGGCTCCCCACGCGAACACTCCACCTCTATGGCTGACAATGTCGTAGTATCATGAAACTGCTATCATTAGGTACAACTAAACCTCGCCCATTATAATTCTTTTCTCGAAAAGCTTGGCGCTTGAGCATGGAGGGTTTTGCTTACCTGTAGCTACTATAACAATCACCTCTTCCTCGCGGATAATCTTACCCTTCTCCAAAAACATACCCTACTACCCTCTACCTGTTTGCAAGTCATCACTTGACAGACCAGTTATTTCTGCCTCTACTAAAATCGGTTGTCCATCGGTCGACAAATGCCGAATCGCGGCGGAAGAAGTGTACAGTTGAGAAGTAATCGACCAATACTTGTCAAGAAGCTGGTATGGGAAGCGTCATTGAAACCGAATGAATACAATCGCAGCTTCGATAAAGAGCTACACTAAATACATCACCCACCATTGCACTTGTAATGAGAGTTGATCAGGAATATGTCGTAGAATGAAACCTGCTGCGATCCCAACGTGTACAGATATGTCGGGCTTTTGGGGACAAGAGAGTGTCCACTTGAGGCGAATCTATAAATGATATATGAAAGGTGTGACATATGAAAGACCATCTTCCATTGGTTTGAGCACGCTTACGATTTAGCGTCGTAGTGCATGGCACTACCATATTCGTACGGTGTGTAGTTGATGGATTCGGCTGCAGTGAGTTTGTTGTAGTTGTGTTGGCTTTCTGTCTGAAAGATGGACCATTAAAACACTATCAGTAACACTTTGGTCCCGTT